AAAAATATATTTATATTTATAGAATTAATAATTATGCATTTGATTCTAGTGAAATGCTCATTATATTAAATCATATAAATATATTTGCAACAAAATAAATAATTTAATATTTTTTCAATTAGGACAAAGCTGTCGTTATGTTTCAAGCTCATGGACGGACTGTGATGCCAAGACCAATATGCGCACGCGTACGATGACTTTGAGGAAGGGCGAGTCCAGCTGTCTGCCCACGCGCACCGTACAGAAGAAGTGCAGGAAAGGTGAGTGCAAATGAAGCTATCAGCGAGGTGTGTTCAAAAGTATTTAAAAGGTAATCCCTATCTAAACCAAAAACTTGCGAACTCTGTATTTTGATGCCTTTCGAACACACCTCGTTTATATTGCCATATACATTTCTAGAATTCATATTCAATTGAATAGCCAAAACACTTGAATTACAATCATACTCACCTGTCTCAATTTCCTTTACCTTAGCTTGCCGTTATGAGAAGGGCGCCTGGTCGGAGTGCAAAGCTGGCCAAATGACACGGGAGGATAAAGTCAAGGTATCCGAGGATGGCAGTCATCAGAGCTGCAATCAGGTGCGCACAATATCCAAGAAGTGCGATTCAGGTACTGCAGCTAAAAATACGGCTAACGGTGCTCGCTCAAGCAAAGTGCGTAAGCACAAGGAAAAGGGTAAGTATGCTTGGCCAACAACCGCATTGAGCCAATAACTAAGTCTGAACTCAATCGGAATTCCAGGTGCACGTCATACACCGCCTCAAGCTTGAGACGTTGGGGCAGAGAGAACTAAATAATCAACATAGGTTTTAGAGCAACATCCACAAACAACACACAAAACACGAATAGCATTAAGATATCAATTTGTTGATTTATAATAACGATGCGCCCATGTAGTAATTAATATATGTATTCTTGTAAACTGTTTTTAAATTATTTGCTTCGCTGCCCTTGGGACACTTGTAAACAAAATCCGTTCATTCTTTTTATTTGTATATCATTTTTCATTTTTGAGGATTAAAATCTTCATGTCATTATATTTAGTGGCATTAAATACGAATGGGGCGACGAGAGATGAGGTGAGACGAATGGAAGCTGAAAACATTTGATACTAACTTAGCGATAAGCTCAACAATTTCACCTTAATGGCGCGCCGAATTTGAGAATCTGTTGCCGTACGAAAAGCCAGAGCCGGAGCCGGAGTTGGAGCCAAAGTTCCTTTGGCCTTGGCCCTGGTTGGCATTGAAATTGTTTCCGGCATTGTTCGTCGAGCCAAAGTGATTGCCGCCCTCGCTAAAGGCATTGTAGCTGCCACGGAAGTTGCTGAAATTGTTGGATCTTCCGGATGATCCGTTGCCACCATTCATGGCATTGAATCCGCCGGAAGACTGATTGCCACCGCCACCGCCACCGCCACCGCCACCGTTGTAATTTCTGGTAGATCCACGATTGCCGCGACTCCGCCCACTGCCACCACCCGAATCGCGCGCTATGTGCTCCAACTCGGGATTTATATTCTGATTGGCCTCACGCAGAATCTCAATCAGGGCGCGAGCACACTTGGCATTTTTTCGTGTAAAGAATGCATACGAAGTTCCCGTTGAGTGCTTGCGCCCGGTGCGACCGATCCGATGTATATAGTCCTCCGATGATTGGGGAAAATCAAAGTTAATGACATACTTGATGCCATCCACGTCTAGGCCGCGGGCCGCCACATCGGTTGCCACCAAGATGTTGGCACGACCGCTGCGAAAGTCATTCAACACATTATCCCGATCCATTTGGGACTTGTCGCCATGTATGGAGCCGACGCCAACACCGAAGGCGTTGATGAAACGAGCCAGCTCATCCACCTTTTTCTTGGTGGCTACAAATATGATAATTTTTCCGGGCATCCCAGACTGATCGTAAATGTGTGACAGCAGATCCTTTAACTTGGATCCTTTCTCGTGCTCCGCACATACATCCACGTATTGTCGTATATTGTGATTGGCTGACAGCTCCAGTGATCCAATATTAATCTGTTTTAGATTTGAGTTGAGTTATTACATAGTATTATTATCTAAAACTAATTTTCACTTACCTGTATATAGTTACCGAGAAAATCCTCGGCTAATTGACGTACTTCCCTTGGCCACGTTGCGCTCCACATTAGTATTTGACGGTCTGGTCGAATTTGGCTAAGTATTTTGCGTATCTGCGGCTCAAAGCCCATATCCAACATGCGATCAGCCTCGTCCAATACGAGATATGTACATCGACGCAGATTTGTTGTGCCGCTCTGTAGAAAGTCCAGCAGACGACCGGGCGTGGCAATCACTATTTCAACCCCGTTCTGCAAGTCACTCGCTTGCTTGGAACGTGGTGCTCCGCCAAAGATGCATGTATTCCGCACATACGAGCTGGACCCAAAATCATTGGCCACCGTCTGAATTTGCTGGGCAAGCTCACGGGTGGGGGCTACTACGAGTGCAATGGGGCCATCGCCACGCTTCAAGGGCGGCTGACCGTTGATGTGCACTATGGCGGGCAGTATAAAGGCGAGAGTTTTGCCTGATCCTGTTTTGGCTATGCCAACCAGGTTGTTGCCCGACAAAACAATTGGCCATGCTTGGGCTTGAATCGGTGTGGGCTCTATGTACCGCTGACGTCGTATCTCATTCATGCAATAGTCTGGAAAGCATGTTTCGTCAAAGCTTCGAATGGGATTGGGCGCCATGCCACGCACTGTGATCTGATGTTGGCTGCGATAGGCAGCCACTTCCTCTGGCGAACGATTACGAGTCTTGGGATGCTCCTGGTAAAAGTTCTTCTGAAACGGTTGCAGACGCATCTCAGACCAGTTGACAATGTTCAGGCCTAGGCCAAAAAAGTTTATTATGTGAAATATATAAAGATAAATCAAATCTCTTACCTCCAAAATCATCATTACCAGAACCAGCACCACGATTCATGCCGCCACTGCGACGTGAACGGTTATCAACTCGGCCAGAACGTACTGGAATAATATATTTTAAGTAATTTAAATTTATTAAGCTTTTATATCTTTAATACATACCGCCTCCATGACCACCAAAACCAGATCGTCCTGTAATATTTGTTTAACATATTATTTAAGTTTTTGTTTTTTATTTATTATTGAGATATTACACATACCTCCTCCACCGCCGCCACTTCCTCCAAAAACGCTGTGCCGAGGTGGCGCCATATGAAGCTTATTTTATTTTCAACACGAAACCGGTAAAGAGAAACCCAATTATAAATCTTGGGCTTCTTCTACTTTTGTTGTGTTTCGTCGCTTTGAGTTGTTTAACTTTAACTGCTTTATATAAATATTTCATAAGACAAATATTTATACCTAAAAAAATATGTATTTGTGCTATTTTATTATAATTTTGCAAAATTACTTGTCCTTTGTTGTATTGTTTTTTATAAGCTTTCTTCTTCTTATTCGATATTTTCATCTACCACTCTCATCATAATTTGACGATCTGGTAGCGCTTATAATGTTTGTTATTGTTTGTCCTTCTCCTATTTACGATACTATCAGCTGCCAGTGTTATGATAATTTATCGATGTGGTAGGGCCTAGCAAAAGAAAGCAAAGAGCTGGCAGCACTGGCGTTTGTTTTGGCAACCTGTAGCCCGCGCAATTCGAAAAATAGTATATATTTTTAAACTTACAAGTTTTGTAGCAAGCAGTATGCGTACTTTTTTTTGTCATCGATTAGTGTCCATTTGAAAGTCAACAAATTACAGAAAAATTCCTCGGCTGATTTAAACAAAAATGTCAAATTTTTCAGTGGCCATTTCGTAAATTGGAAAATCTAAATAATTCATTTATTTGAATCTGCAGACAAACGTTGCAATTTGCAAATGACTCCAATCGCACTAGGGCGGATGCTGTACGGAGGCACACGCTTCAGTCGCAAGCTCGTAAATACCTCACGGGCATTAACTTCCGGCCTATGGCAGACGATGATTAACAGCGTCATGCTGCACACGCAGGCAGCAATTGGGTGCACAGAGAAGCGAATGGTCTGCTCACGTTGTAATCTCCACTCCAATGGGTTGGAGCCACCACATCTGGTGCATTTGATCCATAGGCGCTACTCCACCTGCGAGAAAACATCGACGCAGATATTATCGAAATTGTTTCCTCAGACATCCATGGAGCTGGATGATGAGGCCAGCCGGGACAGACGTAAGCGTGAGGAAGAGGAAGAGCTTAGAGAAATGGAGCGGGCCTGGAAGCGTATGAAAATAGGGTTTGGGGTCTTTGGTATAGGAGGTGTGATATTTTCGTTTTGGGCAATTTACTTCTTTGGCAAGCCGTCGCTTGATGAACAAGGAAACGAATTGGCAGATGAGTTCAGTTCATTGCCATTGGTTCAGCAATACATGGCGCGTACTTTTAAGTCGTTGAATCATTTTCAGAGGTTCATCCAGGAGCCCTCAAGTCAAAAATTATTGCCTGATCCACTGCAGGCGCCGTATATTCAGCCGCCCTACACTTTGGTACTTGAGGTCAAGGACTTGCTGATCCATCCTGATTGGACCTATCAAACGGGATGGCGTTTTAAAAAACGTCCAGGCGTCGATGTTTTCTTGAGAGAGTGCTCCAAGTATTTCGAGATCGTTGTCTATACGGCCGAACAGGGAATGACTGTTTTTCCACTGCTCGACGCTCTCGATCCCAGCGGATATATCATGTACCGGCTGGTCCGCGATTCGACCCACTTTGTGGGGGGTCACCATGTGAAGAATCTTGACAATCTAAACCGTGATCTGAAGCGTGTGGTTGTCGTTGATTGGGACAAAAACTCGACCAAAATGCATCCGGCCAATACATTCTCGATACCCCGTTGGTCCGGCAACGACGATGACACCACTTTGTTTGATCTAATCTCTTTCCTGAGCGTACTCGGAAGCAGCGACGTGGACGATGTACGTGAGGTGCTTCAATATTATAATCAGTTTGAGGAGCCCATTGTCCAATTTCGTGAGAACCAGCGGAAGCTGTCCGAACAGATGCAGGCGGACGAGTTCGAGAAGTTGAGTAAGCCAAAGCCGATGGTCAAGAACTGGTCGCGCGGCTTCATGAAGCCCTAAAGGTACATCGTACATCTCGTACATCGTAGCAGCCTTTTAGGTTTAGACATTTACGTTCTCCCTTGCATTGTTGTGGTTTAACAAATTATTCTCAAAATAATGTGTATCATATTTATTTACTCTTAAATCGAAGAACTATTAATTTTCTGTGACTTTCGCTGACTTGATTGAATTTATTCGGAAATCCGATAAGAATTTAGCGCAACATCCAGCTCCGCCAGCTGCCCGTTGATCTCCTGATGTAGACTCTGCAGATCCGCCAGCTGCTCTATCTGCCTCACCCGGCTGGCCCCACTCTCCAGCATGCTGGCATGCAAAATACTTCGCGCCACATCGAACGTCAGTTGCTCCCGCTTCAGATTCCGCCGCACCTCCAATTGCAATTTCTTAATGTTGAGCATTTGGCGTCGTCGCTTCAGGCTATCGAGCTGACGTTTCAGGGTGTACAGGATGAGTGGCAGCCAAATTGTTAGCATTACAAGAAAGTAAAGGGGTTCCATCTGAACTTGTTCTGTAATCATCCATTCATCGAGTTCTTGATGCATTCAAACATCATTCGTAATGTAACATATTTGAGGTAAAAGTGACACAAAACTCATTGAGAAAGCTTGAATGATGTATGTATGATGTTTGCGTGATATGATACGCATGTTGATGTATTATGAGATGTATGATGTATGTTCATATAATGTATAGAAATCATGTAGAAATATATGATGTATGTGTGAGGTATTCAGGAAGTATATATGATCAATTGTTATGAGATATGATGATGATAGATTATGAGATATATGATGTATGTTCATATAATGTATAGAAATCATGTAGAAAATATATGAGGTGTGTGTGAGGTATTCAGGAAGTATATATGATGAATTGTTAATACAGACATGATGAACATATATGAAAATTGTGTATATATTTGATTTGTAATGTATATATGATGTATGTCGGTGATGCATACATATGATGTATATTAGGTATGTATGTATATGATGTTCCCCTGATTCGTATATTTATGATATATATAACTGGCTGCCACACAAGACTTGCTCTTGCTGATTTCATATTGGTCAACCTTCCATAATAAGAATAAATGTGTATCAAAAACACAGAAATACTTAAAGTTTTTAATTAAAAAAGTTTGCCCATTCAGCATTAAGCCAATACAAGGAATAACAAGTGAAAATGTTGTAGTGCAGCTTAACTGACTGCATGATACTCGTTTACATTACAAATAAGCAAATATAAACTTTATAAATTTTGAATGAAGGGTTCGTTGAAACCGATTTGCCAGCTCTATATAATGACGTATATATGTATATGTATATCCGAGCAACTATAATCCAAAGATCAAACATTTTGTGATTCCCCATTTGACATGCTTAATATTAACATTAACATAAACAATAAAATTTTATTGAAAGACCTTTACGGATCATGCTTTTAAAACTTTAACTCTTTAGCTTTAACAACGATAAATAAAAGGACAATAAGCAAGTTTCAGTTGAGCATCAGCCCTATATACTCCTTTTACGTTGCGAACGAGTAAGAAACCTCAGAGTTGGCCTCAAGGATAATGTGAAATCAGCCAAGGTTGCAAATATGATTTCTCTGCCCTTTTGTTAAGTAAAGTATCAAGATGTTTAAATGAAATATATATAAATAAATAAATATGTATGTGTATAATATGCAAAAGGAATAACAACTCTACTCACACACTCACACACACACATGCAGCACGCACACGTGGGTCTCACGCTTCGCCCACGCAAACTCAGCAACATGTTGCCGGCTACAATTGTGCAGCGTATGCCGTGTGCGTGTGTGTGTGTGTGCGTGTGTGTGCGTGTGCGTAGTGTGTGAAACACGTGCTAAAACAAACCGACGACAATTTCAACAATCAACAATTCACAATATTCCATAACATCTGTCAATTGGCATGCGCCACATAGTCGAGTAGGAGAAAGTAGTCGGCCGAGTCCTTCGGCAACATTCACTATAAGAGCCATTTCAATGTTTTGGCTAATGAGATGCTGTGGCTAATAGGGTTACGACCTGATGCGCTAGTGAAGGTACGCGCGGGCGGCAAGACTTAGCTTGACTATAATCTTTAGATAGATTTCGAGTCAGTTTAGTTCCTAATCTATTATTATAGTTAGTTCCAGTCAAGGGATGCTGTTTGCTGCATGCCACAACACAATGCAAATGACAGCAACAACAACTAGATTGAACAATTCTAGCGCCTGCGCCACTCTGCCTGAGCAAACAGAGAGAGCAAGAGGAAGAGCCAGAGAGTTAACTTGCTCTGCTCACTTTCACTATGTGCCAGCATCAAGGAAATTGGCGACTTTTGGCGAATCTGGCACATTTGCTGCACCAAACTGACATTTCGGAGCTTTTTCATCAGCTTGTCTGAATAGGTGCTGAAAAGTGTGTTTTCAAATTGTTGGCTCTTCCGTTTACACATATACACAGACACACATATATATGTGTCTATTAGTGTGTATGTGTGTGTGTGTGTGTTTTTTTTTTTTTTTTTTTGAAAAAAGCTTTTGGCATTGCCGCAAAGTAAATGTTATTCAGTTTGCATGGAACGTACGCTGCGTTCGTAGCCTTTCGGTTCGCAACTCGAAGATGAATGCCATTAGGCGCTGCTGAGTGTACATGTTACATAGTAAACGAGTGTGAGTGTGTGTGCGTGTGTGTGTGCGTGTGAGTGTTTCATAAAAAAAAAATATATCAGAAAATATAGTAAATAAGTACATCAAATTTGATTAGCCCAAGTTGAAGTTTGTGTTTTAATTACTAAAACAATTGATTGTTTTTTAAGTTTTCTCGACACTACTCTGCATTTCGCTTGGCTTCTCGTGAAAATTTATAATCAAATTATGCTCGCTCTTCAATCATTTCTAATCAATAGTGCACAATATGGTGACAAGTTGTTTTTGCTCGCTCTCGAAGTGAACTAAAAATCCAAAATCACAATTTTCTTGAGCTGCGCTCAATAAGCCAAAGAGTAGGCTACTTAAAATTGCACTCTAAACATTTAAAATAAACAAAAAATTTAATACACATAAATATACATACATGTGTACATACATATATACACACATATGTTTTTGTGCTAAAAAAAAAACTACGAAAGCTTTAAAATTCTTCAGCTTTTGCTGGCAAACAAATTGCATTAAAGTCAAATTCAGACAAATTTAAAGTTTTATAATGTTGATTATATTATGATAATCCCAAACTCATTCAAGTGCCCACAAATTGTTAAATACGCTTGATAAGTTTTACTACAGCCACACCCTAAGCATATTCGCTTAACCAGGCGCAATGTGCGCGCAGAGCAAACGCACAAAAGTAAAGCAAATATCATAAAGAAGCCAAGATGAATGAGCAGCCATATAACAGTTATCTATTAGTTGTAATAAAATCAAAATAAACTGCAAATGTATACACAAATAATCTATATAGTGCATATAACTATTCTAGAATTTGAAATTGTATATGAAATTATAGTTAGCAAAATAAATTAAAATAAAATATATACAATTTACAATTTACGATAATGCATTATTTTTAATTCTATTTAAAAGTCAAGTGTAAATATATAAATTGAAAAATTAACAATTAAACAAACGTAAAAAAATGCATATGGATAAGCGAGTTGGAGCTACTTTAATTTATTCTTTGTTTTTTGCTAACTGCTTATGAAGAAGCCAAAAGATAATTTATAGTTGAAAAATAAAAATAAACATATGTATTATTTAAATTTTTATTCAT